TCATTCATTCATTCATTCATTCATTCATTCATTCATTCATTAAATTTATACCCCGCCCCTCTAGACCATGTCTATAGCTCCCATCATCCCCAGCCACACCTGCCCATTGCCTCATGGTATAGCAAACATGTGGCAATGACTGTTCTCTAATGTTGATGTAATGAAAAATAGTTGAAAGAGCTGTGTAGAGAGGTTGTAGAGAAGACTATAGGGTTGAATAAGAATAAGAATAATTTTGTGTCTCTTCTGTGACCCTTTCCAGGGTTTTGCAGGTAAAAAGTACTCAGAAGTGGTTTTACATTTCCTTCTTCAGGGGACACCTTAGGAATGTACAGCTTGCCCAAGGCCATGCAGAAGGCACACTGGAAATCAAACTCCCAACTTCTCACTCCACAGCCAGATACCTAACTCACTGAGCTATTCAGCAGTCTGCAAATATCTAAAAAGAAAGTGGAGTCACTTTTTCTTTGTTTTTCTAGAGGGATGGACTAGAGGCAATGGGCAAAAATTAAAAGAAAGCAGGTTTCAGGTAGATATTAAAAGAAGCGGCCTAACGGTACAAGAAATGTGAGAAATGTATAGCCTGCTAGTTGTTTTGTATATTTTCATATGTAATTCCTGATCACTGGTTATGCAGATGCACTCCAATATATTCCACACCCTTGTAGTAAAATCTGTTTGACTAGGAAGAGGCTGTCCTGAGAGATGATGGGCTCTTCTACACTAGAGGTATTTAAGCAAAGACTGGACAAGCTATTTGTCAGGGATGCTATAGATCCTGCATTGAGTGGGGAGCTGGACTACAGGACCTCTGGAGGTTTCTTAACCTCTTCAGATGCTGTGAGAACTTGTTTCCATTCTCTCGCTTTCAGATCAAAATTACCCACAAAAGCCAAGTGCCAATGTTGCTAGGACCTCCCCAAAAGAGCAGCTTTTTCTTCCTGAAGAGGAGAAACCGAACTCGAGACTAATCTGCAACCAAGCAAAGAACAATCTCCAGAAGCAGCTGTTCTCCATTCCAGTGGCAGCCATGCAGGGAAAATGGGTGGAAAAGAAACCTTCGTCCCTTCAGATTTCCTGGCTTCTGAATCTGTTTTGGAAACATCAGTCTGGAACGAGCATTATGAACTCTTAGTGGAAAATAACAGGGTTGGCATTCGGCAGCTGAACTGAAATAGCAGTGTGGGTTTGTATATACATGCACACATAGCCACATTCTCTAAATATCACTGGCAGGGATAACACTAACATTGATGGTTTGGGAGGATTCCCTCTCCCTCTCCACCACAGTGCCACAATCCAAAGAGGGAAAACTCTCTCTCAACTGCTCTGGTTGGCCTGTATTGAAAGCCTGGATTTCTGAAGAGAGTAGTTCTGGGCAACCATGAATTATATAGCCGTGTCAGAAAGCAAAGAAAGCAAACAAACAGGCATCGGAAACAGTATGTCTGACGTAGTCCTGCAGAAGGGATGTGCGAGATTTTCCATTTTTATTCAGACTCTTCAAAACCCCTGGAGTTACTGTTCAACCATCAAACTTGGCAAGAACTCAAGCTTCACTTATTTATTCCACCCCCCAAGTGTGTCAAGAAGACATTTGGCATCTTTTTGTAAAGCCTTCACGATCACCAAACCTGACACATTGTTGGAAATCTTATTTATTTTTCTTAGTTTAGAATACGGGGGAGGGATGTGAATGAAAAGGAGAATGAAAATAAGGTTCACTTATTTTTTCCTGGCTCTTTCAATGTTTCATGCTATCATAATTTAAAGAGAGAGGGAGCAGAAGCTGGTTAGGCACCCCATTTTAGGGGCACATGAAGGCAGAAAGCTATTATTGCCAAGAGGAAACCAGAAAGGGTGAGGTCAACAGTAAAAAGCAGGTGCCTTTTTTGGAAATAGAAAGAAATTGCAGGGTATTTCAACATGTCATAGTTTGGCAGGATGGTGGTCTCAACAAATTTGGGGATACTTTCAGAGGGTATACCCTGTTTCCCCTAAAATAAGACCTAACCTGAAAATAAGCCCTAGTATGATTTTTCAGGATGCTCATAAAATAAGCTCTACTCTAAAAATAAGCCCCATTTAAGTGAAATCCCACCCTCTACCATTGTGCAGCAACCAGAAGAAGATGACATGACTGTTTGAATAAATGTAGATTGTTGTACATGAAAAAAATAAAACGTCCCCTGGATGTAAGCCCTAATGCGTTTTTTGGAGCAAAAATTAATTTAAGACCCTGTCTTATTTTCGAGGAAACAGGGCAGGTTTCCAAGTAGAACTCAATGCTCCATTAATATTTTTTATACCCTCCCACTTTGGAGGAATTTTCCTTTTCTTCAGTCTGAGCAGATTTGACATTCATAAAATGTTAAGGTTTTCCCTAGCAGCTTCCGTTAAGGGTGAACTCCTCCAATCTCTCCCTCTCTGTCATCATGGGATTGGTTTAGTCCATTGGCAAATAATCCAAGTCAAATGTTGGATTTGTTACAATAATCTGAATATGCAGCCAAGATTTTGTGCAGAACCAAATGCAAATTCAGTGATAAGCATTAGAATGCCATTCAAAGCCAGCTTGGTCTTGTGATTAACATTTAAGGAAACTCACGTGATGAAACTAAACTGTGTGTGTGGTGTAAGCATATGCGCACACGCATAACTCAGCAGCAGAGAGGAATTTAAAGCTTGTGATCTTTCCACACTTACGGTACCTGATTCTGACTCTAAGACTGCAATCCTGCGTACAGTGACCTGGGAGTAAGTCTCATTGAAATAAATAGGATTCACTTCTGGTGCCATATTCAACACATATTGGATTGCATTGTGTACAGTTCACAGATGCAAGAGATGAAAGCAATTACATTTTAGTTACATAAATGTGTGGATATTCCTCCATTCTCTGTTTTAATTGTATGGACTATCAGTCACATTTTGAATTGGTCAAAAGTATAATATGATGGCAAGTAATGCTGCTCTAAACCATGTTGGGATTAGATCTACAAGGACCATCTTGGTACAGTTGCCACTTTTTGTTCAAGAGACAATGGGAGATAAAATCAATGACCCATTTGAAATAGGGCTGTTCTTCAAAGCAGATGAATCCTTGACAAAAGGGCCCATGAAAAAGTATGTTTTATTATATCTAATGAAGATAATCCAAGGTGTCCTTGTGGTAGTTTTTTTAAGTTTTAGTGGTTCTAGCCCCTGCCTTAATACTGCTCAGAGTTGATTAACGTGTGTCATTCACTTTTACTCAATATGAACAAAGAAGTACCCACTGACACTCCATGTAGGGTGATAAGACCATGTGGAAGGTTGTTTTCACATATCCAGAAAAAAGGAACAAAATCTTTGGTTTCTTCTTTAAAAGTATAGGAAGAGCTAATGACACAAATCTATCTATTATGCCTATATATTTAGTTCCTTAAGGGAGGGTGTTCTTTTTTAATGCCATTTTTTTCTAGATGACATCATCACCATTTTTTCTAGATGGCTTCACTTAGAAAGAGCTCATCTAATACTCTGCATAAGCCAGGAAATCTGATGGAGACCTTGGCATCCATGGCAACATAACTATCTTTGATAGATATTCTGTACAGTAAGTCACGAACTCTACAATTCTGAAGTGTTGCTGCTGGGACCAATTCAGATGCTGGTATTTATGTGTGACTTCCCTGAAGTTTCTTCAAGGCATGAAATATAAATAAGCTGTAATGATTGTGCAAGTTAGTTCTGTCAGAGTTTCTCCGCATATGGAAGTGTGGGCCTCACTGTATTGCTTTTACGGATTATCTGGCATCAGCTCTCACAGAGGAACCATTTATACCAGTGATGGGGAATCTATGGCCTTCCAGATATTGGTGCCCTGCAACTTCCATGACTCCTCACTCTTGGCTTTGGTGGCTGATACTAATAGAAACAACAGCCCAACCCCTGGGAGGCCACATGTTCTTCACCTTTGATTCATACCCCACTGGCCATATGTCCATGTGCTGTTTATTCCTGCATAGGGCAGAAGGTAACCAACAGTCTACCACAGTGGTGTCGAACTGTGGCCCTCCAACGTGCTGTTTATTCCTGCATAGAGCAGAAGGTAACCAACAGTCTACCAGCTTCATGGGCATACGCCTTTCCTTTCCTTTCCTTGTATTGTTCCATATTCTTCTCTTTGCTCAACACTCTGGACACCAACTTCTAGACTTCTTTGCTTTCTTTTTGTCACATATATTTTTGGTAGTTTGCTTCCTTTTCTGTTCTGACTGGATGAACAAAATATCTGTCGTGCAAGTATAACATATACTGTTCCTTAGATGTACTGTTCTCCTGCCACCGATTTGCTTTTTTGGCTTTGGAGTGGTTTGATTAGTGTATATGCACTAAAGAACAAATGTAAAAAAATTATCCAGAAGCCCTATATTTTTCAATGCCAAGTATAAAAACAGAACAGCAGAAATTCTTGTCCCTTTGGGAATGTTTATCCAGTTGCAGTGAGGTATCAGGCCTATATTAGTAGTGTGAGGAGACAAAGAAGGAGCAAAAGCATGGTATAGATATTTCAGAGTATTAGAATAAATTCATAAGGATTTTTTTTTTAACTGATAGGAAACATAGAGCCAATGGGCAATTATTTGATGGCATAGCTATACATGTGTGTGGTTGCCAGGAATTGTAGTTTTATGTACCAAATTTTTTATATTTTCTGTGAGAAGCTATGAAAACTAAACCAGACAAAAATATAAATATGATGGTATAGGTGTGCCTTACATGGTTGGACTCAAGTTAAGCAAACTGGCTTATTGAAGAACGAACAAGCATATTACTTACCTGACACTATCATATCTTAAACTGCACCAGTTTAATTATATTAAAGATTAGATTCACTAATGTCCACTAGCCAGCAGCCCAATGTGAGAGCAGGTTCTTACACCCACCTCCACCTCTCCACAGACCCCCTCAAATCTGCTATAAAGGTCTCAGAGACTTGCCCAAGAGATTCTAAGGGAGATGACTGGAAAAGAGAAGAAAAAGTCAGGTTGTACAAGCAAAAGTCCACTTGCACTACTTTGTAGGAAGCCCAAAACCCACCTTCTTACAAGGACCATAAAACCATAGACTAACTAACTGTTACAAAGGAGTGGCAGAAGAGTCACAGGAAAAAAACTTGCCAAATCTACAGAGAAGTTCTCACAGGCAATATTTAAGTAGCCCATTGGTAGAACAGAAAGAGCTGATGATTGTAAAGAAAAAGCAAAAAGAACACCTAAGAATGAGCTAGGGGTGGCACTGAGAGGATTAGAAATGAAACTAGAGTAGTATCTAATGAAAGACATCAGATGAGCTGAATTCATCTCTTTAAATCAAGGCAGTGACAAAGGCTGATGGAGTTGGATAGGAAAGAGAAATTGAGTCTCTCCTGACTCCAGTGTAATTTGAGGGAACCCAAAATGAAATAAAATCAAAATCAGTGTTCAAAATCTCTTAGATCCAAATTTTTGAATCCAGTATTTCTAATTTCTGTCAAAGCCATAGGTAGCATGAAATAATGCTCTATTATGACTTAGTTAGTCCCATACTTTGTTTGTGTGGGCTGACTGGTTATTCAATGGCTGTGAAAACCCATTTTGCACATGCATAGAGCTGTTTCATTATTGCACAATAACCAGTCCAAATGGCTTGATTTAAAAGTAGGATCTGAAGTTGAACCAATTGGCATTTGGACTTGACCCTTGTAGAGACATTTTAACTTCTTTTTTCTTCCTCCATGCATAGCTTTTAAACCTACAGCCTGCCACACAGGACTGAGCATTCTAAGGTTCCAATCATGGGCACGCTTGCTTTAGAGTAAGAACCATTGAACAGAATAGGGTTTGTATTCTTGAAGGCTTTCACTGCTGGGATCTGATAGTTTTAGGCTTTTCAGGCTGATTGGCCGTTTTCTGGAGGTTTTTCTTCCTAATGTTTCACCAGTCTCTGTGGCCAGCATCTTCAGCGGACAGGAGTTAGAACTCTGTCTGTGTTCTGGTGTACTGTGAGGGATAGTTGAGTATTTGTAGCTGTGGGATCAGCTTTTTGTCCTTTTCAGGAGATTGTATGATTATGGTGATCAGGGTGTTTTTATGGGTATATTGTTGTGATAAGGGGAAGATGACCTGTCACTATGATTGATGGGTGTCATTAGCTAATTTTTTGTTGTCCAGTAGTTATTTTTTGAAATAGGATTGTTTCAGGGCATTTTCAACTACAACAAGCTGGCATGTCCAGCTTGTTTCAGAGCATGTTCATCTACTGCCGATTTTTCTGGTTGTTTTAGTCTGCAGTGTCTTTCATGTTCTTTGATTCTGCTGTGGATGCTGTGTTTTGTGGTCTCAATATATGCCTGGCCACAACTGCAAGCTGGACATGAAATCCTGTTTCAAAACACAGAAATACTGGACAACACCAGCAATCATTATGTTAGACTACATAGGGAAGCCACTGAAATCCACAAACACCAGCACAGCTTCAACAAAAAAGAAGAAAGTCTAAAACTCAACAAAGCCCGGCTCCCTGAAAAATACACTGAAAAATACAGCCTGCAAAAAGGTCAACGAACTCTACCCAGCCACAAGGACTGGTGATCACTGCACACAAAAGACTAGCTAACAACACCCATCAATCACAGTGACAGATCATTTCCCCCTTATCACAACAATACAGTACATCCATAACAAAAATACCCTGATCACCATAATCACCCAATCTCCTGAAAAGGACAAAAAGCTGATCCCACAGCCACAAATACTCAACTATCCCACACACTACACCAGAACACAAACTCCTGTCCTCTGAAGATGCCAGCCAGACAGATTGGTGAAATGTTAGGAAGAAAAACCTCCAGAATATGGCCAAACAACCCAAAAAACCTACAACAATAGGGTTTATTTGTTTTAGTTCATTCCAGGTAGACAAGAATAAGGTGGGGCATCATGCTAAATCAGTGGTCCTCAACCTTGGGCCTCCAGATGTTCTTGGACT